ATAAAGTACGGAATTTTAAATCTAAAACTAAAGGAAAAATAATTAATTAAAAGTAAAACCTAAATTTACTAGGAAAAGAAATTTAATAAAACCCTAATCTATTAATTGATTAAAAAGAAAATTAAATTTGTAAGAAGAACATTTTTTGATATTTTTTGTCTTAAAAATAATTCATAGTACTTATAAAATATTTTTGGTCTTTTTTAGATTTGAAAGAGCATTTTTGAATTGTGAAGGAAATAAATTAAAACCCTAGTTTTCTAATTAAAATTACAAATTAATTGATAAAATAAATAAAGTATGATTAAGTAAAATAATTTTTTTTGTGTAAAAAAATAAATAAACTTTATCAAAATATTAATCTAATGTTTTTTTTATTTTTTCTGATTTTTTAATATTAGGTAAAGTATTTAAGAAGATAAATAAATAAAATAAGAAAAAAGAAATAAAAATGGGCCAGGGTGTGTAAGTGAAACATGGGGTCAGAAAGTAAAAAAAAAAAAGGCCCAAGGAGGAAGCCCAACGCTTGTCCAAAATAGTCAGAATAGGAAAAATATGAAGAAAAAAATCAAAAGGGTACCACTGGGGCTCGAACCCAGGTCCCTCAAGTCACAGGTGCGCGCTTCTACCACTGGGGTGGCTATAAATCCGTTTATATAAATCAAGGCATAAATATATATATGGCAAACACATTCCTGAGGCCAACTTCATCTTCAACCTCACGCCCAGCCAGAGCCTCTGTAACTTGTTCAAATCTCAACAAAAATGAAAACTGTAAACAGGAAACTTGTAGCAAATTTGCTTATGATTTCAGAAATGCAAAGCAATAAAATTAAAGATCAAAGATAAGCATGAATTTTAATGGCCCTAATCTGAACCCTAAAAATCTCAGAAACTTCAATCTTTATATTCTCTAGGCTCAAGCAAAATTAATGAAAACTATGGACATGGTTTGCTTTAGGGCAATTATATCTACATTTTTCATTCACAAATAAACCATTAATGATGCTTGTATGAAAAGTTCCAAAGTCAGAAAACTTACCTTCCAAGAGGGTATCGGGTTTGGAGTTTGAGTAGCTTTCAGTGAGTTCCAATGATTGGATTAGCTTCCTCAAGTTCCCAGGAAGCTAATGGGATGCTTAACTTGAGCTGGAAGTGCCTAGGGAGACCTGGAGAAGTCCAAGTGTAAAGCTCTGTTTTTGAAAATGGAGGATGGTGTTAATGGTGTTATGGTCTTGTAATAGGGTGTGGGATAAGTTCTAAATGATGTTTAGAAACTTTAGGAACCAAAAGGCTTGAAAACGCACGAGGGAGATGTGGGTTTGAAACTTTTGGTAAGGTTAGGCAACAATGGAGGTATGTGATACAGTTCTGAGCTCTTGGTGTTTTTTAGGGGTCAAGCATGCGTGTGTTTTATGGAAAATGGCTTGTGTATCTATAAGCAAAGAGTCTTGAGTGGTTTGGCAAGTCAGAAGTACAAGTTTCAAGCTTTTTTCTATGTTACTTGATTTTCAAGAAAAGTGGGAAAATAAGTTTCAAGGGGAAGTACAAGCATGGGCTGAGTGATTGTAAGTGTCTAAACCATTTCTCTTGTGTTATGAGACATGTATGATCAGAAGAGAACAAGTGCAAGGCTCAAGAACAAGTTTTGTTCAAAAAGTTACTTAATCAAAATGACAATGTGCACTTTCTTCCCAAAATGGATATAAAGCATGGCCTTGCATTGAATGCTTGAAATGAGACCTCTAATAGCTGTGCCAGAAATTAATTATGGAGTACCTAACAAGTTTGAGGCCTGCAAATTAGAGGTTATGCAGCATAACTTTGAATTTTGAATTTGTTCATCACAAAATGACTTGTAATTCAAGTGATAAAACCCTAACTTCATCTCTTCGATTCTCCCTACTCAAAAATTATCTTAAGGAGTTCTTGGATATTTTGGAAAGCTTGCAATGTGCTATACAACCCATATTTGAATTAATTTTGAAGATTCCCCTTGGAACTATATGAAAAAGTGCCATGAAGTTTGGTCAAAATCCTGACCAAATTAGGGCAAAATTTCACTGTGTTTTGTTTCATGACCATGTATTCTTAAAATTATAACTTGAGATCCAAGCACTTTTGGAAGGAGTTGTGTAAAGCAATGTTGTAGATTTCATGGATATATACAACTTTCATGTTGGAAATTTCTTCCGAATCAGCTTGCATCATGGTGAAAAGTTTGCTCAAAGTTATGAAAAATTAAGAAATTTCCAACACTTAGAAAAATTTCTAAGTTTAGAAATTTTAACTTTTCAAAATGAAATCTTGAATTTTGGATTTCTTGATGAATAAGTTTCATATTTTTACATGTTTTGATGAATTGTGATCTTTGGCATTTGAATTTGACCAAAAAGTCAAAGTTTGACTTTTCAGTATACAGTTGACTTTTGATCAGTTGACTGAAAATTCATCTGTCAATCTATTGGACTTGAGCAATGTTTTGAGCCATGTCATTGGGTAAAAATGATGCAATTGGACTCTTGAGATCATTCCTTAAACCAATTGATCATTTTCTAGGTCAAAAATCAGAAATTGCCCTTTCCCAATCAAAACCCTAATTTTGACCATTTTGCCCTTTTGAAGATTTGATCAAATTTCATGAGGAATTGTGGTCCAAACTTGATCAAATGATACATATGAGTTTAAAATGTTGACGTGGATCAAAAAATTATGAAGTTTGACTGTAAATTAGCCATAGTTGACTTTTTCCCCAATACAACTGATTTTTAGGTCAATTGCTCAATTGACCGATCAAAAGTGTGATCCAAAGCTTGAAACTTGACATGAGTAATCTTGATGGTCCATAATGATCCATGAAAGTCATATAGGGCATTGGAAGTTCAAATATCCTTGTGCAGCCTCAAACTATAATTTTGGTCATCAGTGCTTAAGGAGGTGTCTTGAGCTGATCAACCCTAGTGCAGTCTTGAGCCAAAGGAGATCTTGTGAGAAAAATTCTTGATAAGTGAGAGAGAAAATTTTGGGGTACAACAAAATGCATATGCAAAAGGGGAAGAAAAGAGTCTACGGAGACTAGCCTATTTCTAATCCTAATGTTATCATACAATGGTAGTCCTAAGGTTTGGATTAAAAAAAGGGAAACGTCTACCTAATGTTAGCATGCATGGTTCACAACCTAAGGTTTAACTTGCATCCGAAAGGAACAAGCACATCCTAAGGGAACATGGTATGTATGAGGATAAAAAAAACAAGCAAGCTCGAAGGAGCACACATATGAAATGGTAAAGAAAAGAAGCGAAATGATTTAGTCAAGGGGAGCGGATCACCTGAAACAAACAAGCGGAAGTGAAATATAAAAGAAGAGAAATGCTTTAGCTAAGGGGATCGGATCACCCGAAGCAAACAAGCGGGAATAAGACGTAAAACAAAAATGTGATGTCCAAAGCGACTAAACACCTAACCAAGATATAGAAGATCGGGGTAGGTGACAGAAGGCAATATGAACAATCACAGAGTGTCAGCATTGGCCAATGCAAACTCTTGACAAAGTGTGGGGGTTCGATTGCGAAACCATTTTACACTTGACGACTCGATAACGAGAGTAGGCACAACTCTGAAGCATCATGGTGCGTCACGAGCTAAGGATGACACAGACGAAGTTGCGGGGGTTGATTGCTAACCCTTTTCGATTGCCTCCTTTTGAGGACTTCAATAAGGGATGAGGAAATAATGCGGGCACAAATGTAAACACACGTGCAGAATACCTACTTCAAAGGTAGGGTTTTAAACAACCACAATTAGTATACAAAATGCACATAATGCAGAATTGCCTTAAACAGGTCTTTAAATAAATCAGAGGGGTTCCTGACATGATCAGCGACAAAGATCCCCATCATAAATCTCTAGTCCTACTTCTCATGGCAAGTAAAGTGGTAAATAAATGCGATAAAGTGCAGAAAATATAAAAGTAGTAGCGACAACTATTAAAAGCAAGCAAATCGTCGAAAGCAGACGAAAGCGATGGTGAAGCAAGGAGTACGCGTTGAGTAAGCTTCACCAAGAAACAAACAAATTCATAGACGATATCCAACTAAGATAAAAGCAAATGTGTGTTGTGAATGCAACATGTAATAAAAAATTCATGCATAAAGTATCACAAAATATCACATGCATCGGGACAACATATAATATGATATGAATTTCTCAGGACGATGATAAATAAGGTGTGTCGCATCAGAAGCGAGCATAAGCCATATGCTTCGATCATATAATAACCTGTTATGTTATGTGATCGAAAGCACCAAAATGTACCTTGCACAATGAACAAACGCGTCAAAAATAACGAGGCACAATGGTATGAAAATATGAATAAAAACTAAAAGGAAGAGTATTTTTTATTAGTTTTATGTGCGGAAAATTCTATCAAAACTAGAGAAATTCTAGAAATATTCTATTATATTCTACCATTTTTATTGTTTTCAATTATATGCATTTTTACTAAGAAGTCAATGAAGTGAAATTAATAGAGTCAGCGGGTGCTAACTGAAATCTGACGATGGTGTGTAGAAATAAGATTTAGGCGCTAGGCCCATGAACGAATCCAGACAAGCCCTTTTTTGTTGAAACTCCAAGTGTACAAAAAACAACGTAATGGGCCGGCCGGAGGGTGCGAGCAATGAATGGCCCAATCTCTCTTCAATCCAAACAATAATCCAGATTATGTTTTATCATTGTTTATTTATTTGAAAATTTTAAAAGAGAAAAAACTAATAATGAAATCGAAAAACGTGGATTAGGGTTGAGATGTGTTCTTTTCAGCTCCATAGGAACAAACTTTTTCCTCTTATCTCAAAACGGCGCCGCGCATCATCACCTTCACAACTCCGACGATCTCAGTTCTCTCAGCCGCGGCCATTGTCTTTTCCGATCCACCTTGCCATCCTCTTCTCCACCGTGTTTCGTTCTTCTCCACACCATGAATAACCATGTGATCCACTTCACATCTCCATCCTCACCTTCTTCCGTCTCAACAACCTTGTTTCAAATAGTATAGCAAAAACAGTGCACATGATGAGGAAGAGAAAACGTTTACCTACAGGAGCCAAGTCCGGCGCCTCTTCAACGCGTCGAAGTTCCAAAGAATCCGAAAGAAAGCTCAAATATACATGTAATATCACGCGTCCCGAGTATTCTCCTTCTTCTATTCTTCTGCTCCCATTCTATATTCTCTTCTTCTTCGCATTTCTGCATGTTTTGGTGATGCGTATTATTGCAATTCTTTGTATGCGTTTGTTGTTGTTCTTGCAAACTCAATGGTGTGTTGATGATTAGAACATGATGCTAAGAATTTGTTATTGCTGATTTTGTTGCAGATTGAGCATTGATGATGATGCGAAAGTGATGCTGATGCTGATGCAAACAAGAAAGTTGAAGACATGCGTGTGATGCATTGTGTCGATGCTGGATCATGATGACGAGGCTATGATGCGAGAAGAGGAAAAAAAGATGTTGCTCTAGTTTTTTGTTGCAGATTGAAGTCACTGAGCGTTGATGGTGAAGATGATGCATGAATATTAGAGATGATTGAAGCTAAGATGATGAAGTAATGTAGAGAGATGAAAGAAGAATGAAGAGAAAGTTTCTGAGAATTTTTTCTGTGATTTTTGTAAAATGATCATGGTCTCTGAATTGTGTATTGAGTTTCTATTATATAGCAGTTAAAGGCTTGAGAAGTTAGTTGCAGCTTGAAGCTCTCAGAGCCATATGATCAAGGATTTGGTTAGAACATTGAGATTGAGCCACTTGAAGGTTAGTTATGTATTTTCTTTCTGTTAAGGATTCTGCTATAGTTAGTTTTGTAATTATGTTACATGAGCTAGCTGTTAGTTATTGATTTTGTTAAGCTGAGCTGGCATAATCAGTTAGGAGGTTGGCGAAATTCTGTTTTTCTATTATATGTGTATTTCTGAATTTCCTTTCCTCTGTATTTTCTTCTTGAACATGCCTGTGATACTTGAATGGCTTAACAAGGCATGAGGGGGCTTTCCGTTCCAGTAGCTTCAAGGTCATTTCAAAATGTTTTGATTGTTTTGATTTTTGTATTGATTCAGGGCTGAACTGGTTTCTTTTGTATTTGTTGTGAACAAGGCATGGTATGGACTTTGTTTTGATTATGAATTGTGATGTATTGGATGAGCTACAACTTGGTTAGGTGAATCAACTGAATGTTCATTAGAAGGCCAGGGTATAAGGCTAGGTGGTTAAGAATTGTTTGAAATGTTAACTTGGCTTGAGCTCAAAAATGGATGTAAGTAGCTGACTGGCTTATGTTTTATTTTCTGGACTGGTTTAGTGTGGATATTAGTGTCAATTTATTTCTATTTTCGTGATGATATAGGGCCATAATTGAATCCCATGTGAGTTGTTTGGATGGTTTGTTTTGATGCAGGTCTGTGATGTATTTGATGTGCTGTTTTGGCTATAAGTCTAAACTGGAGTATGCAAATCCAAACAAGCGTTGCTGCCATAACTTTGAGCTAATTTGTCCATGAAGAAAGGGAAAGAGAAATTGGGAGGAGCGTGAGGCAATTTGATAAGGCAGCTTGAGATTAGAAAACATAGGCTCCAAAAAATCTTGATGTAATCTTTCTTTTATGTAATTTCCAAGTGTAGAGAAATGGTTAATTTTTTGTAGCTTGTAAACCTTGAACGAAGTTCCACCCTTTGTATTTCTAACGACATCCTTCTTTCTCGTTTATGAAGTTTGAATCTATTTCCCTCTAACTTGTTCAATTGAATTAATTTTAGATGAACCATGATAGGAGAGTATAAGAAGTTCATGTGGAATTTGGTCAAAAATTTATCAAAGATCTTTAACTTGAAATACCTTCCAGACAATACCATGTAGTGCCTCATTTTCTTGCTTAAACTCTAAAGTTATGACTTGTAGCCTGAGCAACTTCAATGAACCGGTTTCGATTGAGTAATGAAAGTTAACATTCCTTAATGGTCCACTTTTCACAGTGCCTTGCGCTTGAAGTAATTGTTTACTGAAGGAACTACCTTTGAACATTGATACTCAAAACCTTAACTGATGGATGATAGATTGGTAAAACCTTTATTCATAGCTCATACAATAAGGTCGTTCTTGAATGAAGGCTTCTTTGTATTTCATAATGAAGAACCTCTTTTGCACAAACCTTGATTGACTACGGATACCAATATCTTTTCTCTAACTTACACTTTAAACTCTGGCTGAAACCTTGAGATGATGATGTCGATTGATGAACAAGCTCCACCAAAAATCATATTGAATAACACTTAATTGGGGAAATAAAACTTAATCAAGTGACAATGATGAGCACAAGAAGATGATGTTTGTAGACTCTCTATGCTCTAACTCCTGGTCTCTTGGATGATATCTTGGGATAACTCGTATTGCAAGCAACAATGAGCATTTTATGTGTTGAAGGAAGCTAGAGAAAATTCAAGAGAATAGCTTTAGATGACATATATGCAAGTCTTTGTAGATTCATCAGATGATCTTGAGTATAAAGCCTTGACTTGTAACCAAACCATGTGAAAGAAAGAAGAAACCCTAATGCCTAAGTGGACCCTTAATCTCGTGACCTTGATTCCAAATACCGAGCCTTGATGAAATTGGATGGAGAAGACATTGTACCTTGATGCAAAACAAATCCACAAACACTGAACCAAAACCCTAGCTTCAAACCCTGATTATTGATGAAACATGTTGATCCAAGCTTGCATGAATATGAGAGCCTTCCTTGAGATCCCTGATCCCATGCTAAGTCTTGTGGTTCATGAATGCATGATTTTGTTAAGTGACCTAATGGGAGGTATGCAAATGAAATGAGAAGTACAAAATACATAAGTCAGATAAAAGTGAAAGGGTAGGACAAATTTGGGGTATTACATCATCCTGCACCGACTCGTTCACTTGCTTAGCAGACATAAACAAGTCTCCTTCATTCTCAGGTTCTAGAAAAATAATTGTCTTAGCAAAATAGTTGATATAAACATGGTTAAATTCTAACCAGTTTATCCCAAGGATGACATCAAGTTGATCTAATGGAATACACACTAAGTCAACTCCAAAGTCCCTAACAAAAATACTCAACAGACAGTTCAAACACACATATGAAGTAATCACTGAACCCATAGCAAGAGTATCAATAATCATACTTCCATTCATATCATATAACTCGAGACTTAATCTCTTAACACAATCCAAAGCAATGAAAACGCGAGTCTCTCCAGTATCAGTTATAGCAATAAAAGGTGTATCATTGATGAAGCACGTACCTCTGATTAATCTCTCTTCAACAGTAGTCTCAAAACATGATATAGAAAACACCTTTCCTCTAGACCGCTCCTTCTTCAGTTTATCACACCTGGTACTAATATGCCCTTCCTTGCCACAATTGTAGCAAGTCATATTCACACCTCCCTTGCACTCATAAGTCTTGTGACCTGTACTTGTGCACTAAGGTTCACGATGTCCTTAAACACCACAATTAAAACACTTAACTAGAGCAGGAGCTCCTCCCCTACTTGGCTTCTTGTTATCACTAGATTTTTGTTTCTCCTTATCAGTAGGAGTCATGTATGACTTTCCTTTGAATTGAATTTTTCCCTTCTTCTCATTCAAACTCTTATAAGGAGTAAAACAAACTCTAATATCTTTATCATAGATCCTACTCTTGTTAAACAATTTAGAAAATTGTCAAATCTGTTGGTAACCAATGGCTTGCTTGATCTCAGGCCTCAAACCATTCACAAACTTAAGACATTTGGATCTCTCAGCATTAGCAGTGTTATAATGAGGACAAAACTTAATCAACTCTTCAAACCTTGTAGTATACACGGCCACAGTTGAATTACCCTGCTTTAGCTCAAGGAACTCAATTTCCTTCTTCCCACGCACATCTTCTGAAAAATGCTTCTCCAGAAATGCTTCTATGAAAACAACCCAAGTAACCCCAGTTTCCTCTTCTTCAAACCTCTGACTAGTATTACCCCACCAGTCCTCAACTTCCCTCTCAAGCATATGGGTGCCAAACTTCACCTTCTACGCATCTGAACAGTTCATGACTCAAAAGATCTTCTCAATGGATTTCGGCCATACTTGTGCCTTGTCAAGTTCATGAGCTCACTCGAAAATCAGTGGATTGTTTCTCTGAAACTTCCACAAAGCACATAACTAATCATCGTTGTTGTTCCCAGGATTAACATTGAGTTGCTGATTATGCCCATTTGCTCCAACCAGCATTGCCAAAGCTTCAGCAGTAGCCTCGCCATTCCTTCCTCGAACCATTGGTCTAAGAATTTACAACAACAAATTCTCGTTAGAACAAAAAGTACCAATAGATATCGAGTCTAAAATGGAATAAACACATTAACAACGTATTCAACTGTCTGTCTATGCTCTGATACCACTAATATAACACCCTCTAAAACCCCGCAGAATGATACATCATAAATCAGAGTAATATAACATGCATATCAATCGAGGATATCACACATAATTAAAACATCATATATACCTGTCATGCTCAATAACACTTAATTAAAATTCATGATTTGTATACACTTTCACATAAACATGTAGCAGCAGAATCACTTTCATTTATAATGAATATAATAATTAATCTCATAATGAAATCATTCATTTTACTACTTAGGAATAAAGGTCAATTCACCACATAATTCAAATAAATCATAACAAACAAAATAGAGTATACAATGTATCTATCAAAACATGAATTCAAAATGTTTCCTTGTGTTACATAATCAGAGCATTGATTCGAAACCACAATACGAAAATAAATTAAGCTAACTCCTCCAGCTACTCTCTTGCTAGAAGAAACTCTAATCTTCAGTACCTGAGCGATGTCGTATAAAACATCATTCCAACATAAGGGTGGGAATTCACATGATTATTGAAATAATATAATAATATACAATGCATAACATTCATGCATAAAGATAAATATTCTCACACTTCAAATGCTTTATACACATAGCATCACTCAATTAATCATATTATTCACAAGTATACATTCACGATCCACAATTTCAAAAATACATCATTTTGACATAATGCACATAACTTCATATTAATGACATCAACACAATGTGACTCAATGCAATACTCAAATGCAATAATCATGCATGTGGTACCAATCATTGTTATTTTTATTCGTTTTCACTTTAAATCAGGTACGCTCCCTAGACCAATAGCACAAAAAAATCTCATTCCCTAAGCTTTCAAACTCCACTCTAGGTTTGGGATAAGTCAGTAGCTCCCACGGAACTGACAAGCATTTCCTCTTGACAATAATGATGCATGTGCAATTTCAACAATCATATGCAATTAGGACCATCCCTCAATCTTAACATACATGCATATATTCCATAATTCATCGAAATTGAATTACCACACAATTGCACATACTCATGAATTATCCACATACAATTCATATTTATAGCATCATTGCTCCAAAACATCATAATAACTCATGGTAAATAATGTACAAAGTATCATCACAATCCAATACCAAATCACAAACATACATACACCACATAAACAAAGTGTCATGTTTGATCAAATAGGCCTTCAAAAACCACCCAACATGTAGTTTTAAATTACCAAAAATTAAGTATAAATTAGCATAAAATATAAGTATACATAATTCCAAGGCAATTTAAGAAAATGAAAATATTTCGACTCCCATGTGACTGCGCTAAGCGAGCTTCCAGATGCTAAGCGCACAACTCACTGACTTGGCCATGCTAAGCGCGCTAAATGGCGCTAAGTGCCCTCTACGATTTGCAGAAAAATTCATGTGATGACAACAAAGAACCCATACAATTTTATGACCCCAAAACACATTTTTACATCAAACTTCTACAATTTAAAGTAGTATAACATATATACAACATATGGTTTTAAGCCAAAACATCACAACACAAAACAATCATCATATTCAAGGATTCTTCACTCAAACCTAACAATTTTAAAACACATGAAATTGGGGTTTTTATCCTAAGCACACAACTACCCATTACATACCATTATACAATTCCCATAACAATGTAAAAATCCACCCTTACCTTGATCTCTTGATGAACTCTTGGATTCCTCCTTAGTTGTTCTTCTCCTCTTTCTCCCTTTTCCTTTGTTTCTACGATGAATAAGCATAATATTTTTCATAAACGAATGCCTAAGTTCCTTAGCCATCTAAGGAACGGAACAAACGAAAAGCAATGGTTATATAGTACTCGATGCCATTTATGAGTTTCCTCCAAGGCCTTATCATTTCAAGTATGCTAAACTCTCTGAGGTATCTTGTTGGACGACTCCCTCGCAAGAGACATTTTAATAGCATGTGGAGATAAATGTTCCCCGCCAGAGGTTGAATAGGAGGGTCTTACTCCTTTGTCCCAACCATAGAAGGAAGAATGAAGGGGGTGAGTCAACAAGGAAACCCAAAGTTTGGACTCCACCTTGGACTATAAAAGCAGTAGCCTCTAGAGGTGAAGGTGTAATTCTAGGTGTCTTCTAAATTCAAAGTATTATTTTGTGGAATTTCATCTTATCTATGTAGCGGTTATTCGATTTTGTTTAACGATGCCCCAAGACGTGTACCATCAGTAAAACCCTAGCTTTACCAAAAATCCACCAATTTCCTCTTCAAATAAGTCTTCATGCACATCGTCGGGGAGATACACATATAACTCCCACCCCCAATAAGGAAGTTATTTTCCACCCGAATTTTGAAAACCTCTTCAAACATTTCCCGGATGCATCAAATTAGACGTCACATATATTCGCATCACTAACCTCAGAGAGAAGAGTAACTAGTAAGTACTAATATTTAAAATTATTCACATTATCATAATAGACCTCAAACCTCTTCTGAATTTTTCTAAGAGAAAATAGTCGTGGACCTCAGGCCGAGTCAGCCGACCGACATTAGACATTAAAGATATGGAAAATGAGCATCAAGGTTGTTGTGCTTTTCTTATACTCACACTAATATCGAAGAACTTGACGTGAGACTAACTCGCTAGATGCAATTGTTATGGGAAACTCCCAAATCATTAAGAACACCCACCTCAAAGCCACTAAGAGGAAGATGATATATATATATATATATATATATATATATATATATATATATATATATATATATATATATATATATATATATATATATATATATATATATATATATATATATATATATATATATATATATATATATATATATATATATATATATATATATATATATATATATATATATATATATATATATATATATATATATATATATATATATATATATATATATATATATATATATATATATATATATATATATATATATATATATATATATTCCTGATGCACCGCACAATTAACATTGCATAGCATAAAAAAGCACAACCCTACCACCAACGGTCAAGATCTCGCCTCAATCTACTCCAACACTTAAGTGCCCAAGAAAAGAGGGTCATCATCATTGTCGGTTGTAGAACTACACGTCAAATTTGTCCCATGAAGTGTGGCAGATACAAAAAGAGCATTCAATGCGCATGTTTCCCATGCAACTGACTTCCTTTAAAAGTCTTTCCACTTCCTTCAATGAGAGACCGATTAAGAAAATCATTGGACGAACAAAGGTATCCCGAACCACACAACTTTTACTTCAAGAAGTAGTAACAGGGGCATTGGGGACGAATGTTCTAGATCGTTCGCAAGACCCATAGATAAAGGTCCAATTGTGAGGCCAAACACAAAAGGCGCAAGTAACAAGTGAGACCTCGACCAAACACAAAGCATATGATTCAGACCTCCAACTTATTCTCTACCGTTAGATCTGATCGAACGACGATTCACATAATGCGTCGGCTTAAACAAGAGTGGTTTTAATTGTTCACCCTATGTAAGCTCCACACACGCCAATCACATATGTTTTCAGTTACACTCTAAATTGCTTCTCAAATAGTTTATTAGCTTAGACATCGTCGAAATTCTAACATTACAATCCACTATGTTCCGTCATATCTGAAACATTCACCACCGCACCAGAAGATTTCTCTAAGATCTTGTTTCTTATTCCTAGTGCCACGCAAAACAGTATGGAATAAAAACGTACTATATCTCTTATACAGATTTTATCATTTTTCTACCAAAGTTAATTATGTGGTATCATTCTTTAGTCTTCATCTGAATTTAGATACTATGTTAAACATTAACTATATGCAGCCAAGCTATCACTTTTCAAACCTGAACTACTCCGAAAAAACTTTTCTTTCATCAACTAGACAAGAAACTTAAAATCAATTTAATACATCTTTGAAAGGTCAATTTCATAGTACATTTTATGAAGTAAAAGAATACTGTAACAAATGTTCAATTGGACAATAATTATCCACTGTTCCAAGTTTTCAACTGCACCACATTATAGAACAAACTGCCAAACTACTAGTATCAATCAAATTTGCACACTCTTCCTAAGATTAAATGTGGAATTAAGTCAAATTCCTCAAACAATTTTCTTCTGCTAACTTGTTTTCCCAATGGTTTCAACTTTAGGCACATGAACAGGAAACTCATGAATCTCATCCATCCATGGATTCTTTTCCTTAGCAGGATCAACGGTCCTCAATGCACGCCACACAGCACTGTTACACTTGAATCCAGAACCAAATGCAATTTGCCAAGTTCTATCACCTTTTCTAATCCTCCCTTTAGCTTCAGTATAAGCCAATTCATACCACAATGAGCTACTAGAAGTGTTACCAAATCTATAAAGTGTCATCCTTGATGGCTCCATATGCCAATCACTAAGATCAAGATTTTTCTCTAACTCATCCAAAACAGCTCTTCCACCAGCATGAATGCAAAAATGCTCAAAAGCCAACTTAAAGTCAGGAATGTAGGGTTTTATTTTCATCTTGAAGGCTTTTCTTGCGACCAAAGTCGCGAAAAACAGAAGCTGTTCTGACATAGGTAGGACTAATGGACCAAGTGTTGTGATGTTTGTTTTGAGTGCTTCTCCGGCGACAGCCATTAAATCTTTTGAGAGGGATACACCAACTGATCTCTTCTCGTCTTCTTCTTGAAAGACGCAGCCGTATGATTTGTCGTCTGCGCCTTTGTGAGTCCGGACGGTGTGGATCAGTTGGTATTTGGCTTTTTTGCTGTCAGATGGTTTGTTGGAGAGGAGAATTGCTGATCCTCCCATTCTGAAGAGACAGTTTGAAACTAACATTGATCTGTTGTTGCCAAAATACCAGTTGAGTGTGATATTCTCCATGCTTACCACTAAGGCATAAGAGTTTGGATGAACCTATATACATAAAACAAAAGTATCAATAAAGTATTTTTAGTAAATTAAAACTATAAGTTTAAATTAATGAGTAATGATAATTGATTAGTGAATTGTTATTTTCAATGATCATTTATGGTTCCTCAGTTATAGATGTGGACAACTTGCACTAAATTTGCAGACCTAAAAGGATCAATATTTTTGGTATAATGTCTACAGTTTAGAGCTGTATTAAATAGGGGTGCTAAAATTTAATGTTACAGCTGCAACTAACATGGACAAGCTGGACATGTGGACAACTAGGCTAACAGATAATTGCTTTTTAAAATTTGAAATTTTTGCATCTATAATTGATTCTTTAAACTAGAAATTGATTGTAAAAAATGATTTCAGGCATCTAAAATCAACTTTATATGGTAAATTCATTAAAAATGATCATGAACTTAAAGAATAGAAAAGCAAGCAAAGAAACCTGGAGAAGCTGTTTAGCAAGGTCAATAGAGATAAGTCCAGCACTACAACCCATACCACCAAGATTATAACTTTGAACATTCCCTCTCAACTTATAATGATTCACAATCATAGCAGAAAGAGAAGGTGTAGGATTAAACAAACTACAATTGACAACCAAAATCCCAATATCCTTAGCCTTAACACCAGTTTTCTCCAAAAGCTGATCAATAGCCCCAAACATAACCTCCTCAGCTTCTTTCCTTGCTTCAGCCATGCTAGGGTTTGGTGGAACAGTCAACAATGCTGGAGGCAAAGAAGTCCTTTGTCCTAAACCAGATCTCTCAAGTATCTTTTTCTGAAAAGCTAAATTCTCATCAGAAAAAGTTCCTGTTAACTCAGACCTATTCATGAAAATCTCTCTAGTACATTTATAATCTTGTTTAGGTTTATAACATGCAAAATCAACCAAGTAAACACCTCTAGGACGACTCATGAAGTAAAGTGTGACAAGAAATACCATAAGACTAGAACATAGAGTTACTGAAATGAGATTGAACTTGAGATTCTCATAAAGCTGAATAACATCATGGTATGAGATTGTGGATAAATGAGCTGAAGCTGCACCAAAAAGTGGTATAAGAAAAAGGTACATAGCTTTTGAGATTAAGTAATGGTAACCTAGTTTCACATATTTGAGTTTAACTGATATAAGAAAATTTGGAAGTTTTGTTCTTTCTGTTTGAGGCTCAATAGAAACAGTTTGGTTCTTGTGATTTTCCATGATGAGAAGAGGAAAAAAAAAAAGAAGGAAATGATGAATGTGATGAAAAAATGTGGAAGATGAGAATGTTATAAAGGGTGAAGAGAAGGAGATAGTTGATACAACTACCCCAACGAACTTTTAATTGTTATCTGTAGGGGCATTGAATAAGCCAACTAGGAAACAGCTTTATTTATTTTATTTATTGCTGTATTTTGCAAAAAATAATTTGGTAATGTTTAAGTTTATTTGATTTTTCATCCATTTTAGACAAAAGTACAAAACTGAAATGGCACATGCAAGTATGTTAATTAGTAGGGCGGTGAACAGTAGGCCACTTGGGTTGAACGTCACCACGTTGGTCATTGGTGAGCTATACTAATAAATGATGATAATTTATGAGGAGGATATAAGAAATGTGTATATGTTTTTTGTTTTTTCTATCTTTTCACTTTTGGGTTTCATAGGGGGAAACCTCCATCCCCTGTTACTTGTCTATGTATTGCTTCAATCAAAGAGTTCTAGACTGAAATATTGTAACATTTACTTTAGTTGATATCCACAAGAATGTTGGTAATTTAGAAAAGCAAAAATATGTTAAGGTCTAGTTGCTTGCTTTGTCTTCGCAAATCTATTTTGACGTGTATTTCGTGTTTTCTGTTAAATTGTAATCCAGTGTGTTGAAATTATGTGTCGAAAAGATTTGATTTGTTTTAGATTTAAATAGATTTGATTTAAGTCTAGAATAAATTAGATTTGATTTATTAATAAAAAAATATTTTGGGCTTTGGGCTTAGGGTGCAAGTTCAGTTATAAATAGAGGGAGTAACCCCTATTTTCAAAAAGCAAGTCAAGTAAGTTGTATTCACAGAATTTGCAGTTGCAAGTGAATAACAAAGTTTTCACAGTTTGTGAGCAGAGAGAAACTCTGCAGAAATTATTTGTCTTGTCTTCTTTTCTTTGTTTGTCTCATAATTAAATTGTCATTGTGGTAGAAATTCATCATAGAATTTGGTGGATTTCCAACATCTGGTATCAAGAGCTTTGTTTCGATTCAAGGGAAGTGTCAATCAAGAACGATTGAAGAATTTACGATGACAAGTTATGGGAATACAAATTATCCAGCAACCCTACCAATTCTGAAAGTTGACAACTATGAGAATTGGTGCAAACAGATGAAAGTCTTATTCAGGTGTCAAGGTCTTTGGGACCTTGTAAAAGATGGAGTCGAAGCGCTTGGAGAAAACGCTTCAGAAGAAGAAAAAAAGAAATACATATAATCTGAGAAGCTGAGTTATAAAGCATTATTTATAATTCATCAATGTGTCAGCCCATGCAATTTCGAAAAGGTTAGTGATTCAGAATCTGCAAAAGAAGCTTGGAAAATCCTTGAGAAGTCTTTTGGAGGCGCTGAGAAAGTGAAAGAAGTGAGGTTACAAACTCACAAAAGGACCTATGAACTGCTTCAGATGGAAGACAGTGAAAGCATATCTGATTTCTTCACTAGAGTTACAAAACTAGTAAATCAAATCAAGATATGTGGAGAAGCGTTAACAACAAGAACTGTTGTGTCGAAGATCTTGAGATCTTTAGCTCCTAAGTTCGACCACATAGTGGTGGCGATAGAAGAGGGGAAAGACTTGTCGAAATTGACAAAGGAAGAGCTTCAAGGGACGCTTGAATCTCATGAACAAAGAATGGACGAAAGAGCTGCAGGAAAATCGAAGAGTGATGTGGTCTTGCAGGAACATTCAGCAAAAGAGACCAAAGACAAAGGAAAGTGTTTCGACAGAGGTAGATGTGGCTACAACAAATCGAATGGTAGAGGAAACCAGATTGAAGGAAACATGTCGAATCAAAGAAGACCATACCAAGGCAACCAAAGAGGTGGTGTTGCAAATAGAGGAAGAGGTGGTGGTCGAAAACCTGATAAGAGTCACATTCAATGTTACAATTGTCAGAAGTATGGTCAATATTCGAGTGATTGTCCAGAAAAATGAAAGAATCAAGAAAGTGATGCAAAACTTGCAAAACATGAAGAAGAAGAAGAGATGATGCTGATGGTCACAACAAGAGATGAAGATATATTCAAGGACCAATGGTACTTGGATTCAGGATGTTCATCGTATATGTCTGGAAGGAAAGACTAGTTCGTCAATATAAAACCCTCAATGAAAAATATGATAAAATTTGCAAATGACAATACCCTAGCAGCTGAAGATATTGGTGATGTTATGATTATGAGGAAAGATGGCAAAAGGTCAGTAATCTTCAATGTGTTGTACATACCAGGCATGAAGAGCAATTTGCTTAGTATAGGGCAGTTGGTCGAAAAGAATTATAAAGTGTCAATCGAAGATAAGATGATGAGAGTCGTTGATGCAAATGGGAGATTAATCTTGAAGGCTCTTATGTCTCAGAATCGAACCTTCAAGATTGAACTAAATGTGATGGAGCACAAGTGCCTTTCGATTGCAGCTAGCAGAGATGAATGGATATGGCATTATAGACTAGGCAATCTCAACTTCAGAGACATCAGAGATTTGAAGAGAAGAAATATGGTTTCAGGATTGCCAAAAATTGACATTCCAAATGAGGTATGTGAGGAATGTGTGTAGGCGAAGCAACACAAGAATAGCTTCAGCAAGGATGCAGGAAGCAAATCGAAGGCTAGTCTTGAAGTCATATACTCTGATGTATGTGGACCAATCCAGGTGGATTCGATGAGAGGTAACAAATACTTTGTTACATTCATAGATGATTTCAGTCGAAAGCTATGGACTTACCTGATCAAGAAGAAAAGTGAAGTGATCGAAGTATTTACCAAGTTTAAGTCTATGGTCGAAAGACAGAGTGGTCGAAAGCTCAAAGTTTTGAGAACTGATGGTGGTGGAGAATATGTGTCGAAAGACTTCGACAAATTATGTGAAAAGGAAGGGATTATGCATGAGGTGGTGCCACCCTATACTCCACAACAAAATGGAAATGCAGAAAGGAAAAATCGAACCATCATGAATATGGTGAGAAGTATGTTGAAAGGCAAGAATTTACCTAAAGAGTTTTTGGGTGAAGCTGTTTCGACTGCAACATACATTTTGAACAGATGTCCTACAAAGAAGCTAGAAGGAATTACTCCAGAAGAATGTTGGTCTGGTGTGAAGCCTAGCTTGAGTCATCTGAAGGTATTTGGATCTATTGCACATAGACATGTGCCAGATCAGTTGAGAAGAAAACTTGATGATAAGTCAAGTCAAATAATTCTAGTTGGATATCATTCGACAGGAGGCTACAAGTTGTTCGATCCAGTGAAAAAGCAGATTGTGATCAGCAGGGACGTGATCATAGATGAGTTTAAATAATGGGTTTGGACTGAAAATATCAAGAAAGATTCAGTGGTAATCCTTCTTGAAGAGCCAGAAACTCAAGTCGAAAGAGAAGTTCGACAAGAGGAACCAGCAGATATACCAAGTACAAGCAGGCCTGAAAGAAAAAGACGCATGCCTGCAAGATTGCAAGATTGTGTGATTACATCAGATGATGTAATAGATAATGAAGGTGAGCTGGTACATTATGCTTTCTATGCATATGTCGAACCCGTTAATGCAGCTGAAGCATTGAAGGATTCGAAGTGGGTGAAAGCAATGAACGAAGAAGTAAAATCTATCGAAGACAACAATACTTGGTCACTTGTCGAATTGCCTCAAGGCAAGAAGGAAATTGATGTTAAGTGGGTATACAAAGTGAAAATGAATTCGAAAGGTGAAGTAACTCGACACAAAGCAAGACTTGTGGCGAAAGGATTTCTACAGAAAGAAGGAATAGACTTCGATGAAGTTTTTGCATCTGCTGCTAGGATCGAAACAATCAGGTTGGTTGTTGGTCTAGCAGAAATAAACAGTTGGCACATATGTCAGATGGACGTGAAGTGTGCATTCCTAAATGGAACCTTAGATGAAGAAGTCTATGTTAAACAACCAGTTGGGTTTGTGAAACATGACGAAGAAAGAAAGGTGTACAGGCTACATAAAGTCCTGTATGGATTGAAACAAGCTCCAAGGGCTTGGAATAAGAAAATTGATAGTTTTCTAAGGGAGAAAGAATTTGTGAAGTGCACAACTGAATATGGAGTATATGTAAGAAGAAGCAAGAGTAAATTGCTTATACTATGTCTCTATGTAGATGATTTGTTGATAACAGGTAGCTGTAAAAGTGAGATCGAAGACTTCAAAGGTGATCTCAGCAAAGAATTCGAAATGTCTGATTTGGGTGAGATTTCATATTTCCTTGGTATCGAATTCTACAAGAGCAATAGAGGTTTGATGATGCATCAAAGAAGATATGCAGGAGAAATTCTCAAGAGGTTTGAGATGGAAGAATGCAACTCAACTTCGACACCTGCAGAACCAAGACTGCAACTGTCGAAAGATGAAGATGAAGATGATGTTGATCCAACCCAATACAGAAGACTTATTGGATCATTGAGATACCTTTGTCATACATGGCCTGACTTAGCATATAGTGTAGGTATGGTAAGTAGATTCATGCAGAAGCCAAAGGTATCACATCTAGCAGCAGTGAAGAGGATACTAAGGTATCTCAAAGGAACTTTCGATTATGGCATTTTGTTTCATGCAGTTGATAAAGGAAAATAATACAAGTTAGTGGGATACACTGATTTGAGTTGGTGTAGTGATGTTGAAGATTGAAAGTTAACAGCAGGATATGTGTTTATGCTAGGTGGTGCACCAGTTGCTTGGAATTCAAGAAAGGAACCAGTAGTGGCATTATCATCATGCGAAGCAGAATACATAGCTGCTTCTCTTTGTGCATGTCAATCAACTTGGATGGTGAACTTGGTGGAAGAGATAACAGGGAAAGATTATGGAGCAATTACCATGAAGATCGACAACATGTCAGCTATCAATCTGGCAAAGAACCCAATAGCACACGGTCGAAGTAAGCACATCAAAATGAGATTCCATTATCTTCGAGAGCAGGTAGCAGATGGGAAGATAAATTTG